GGGATCGTATTTCTCCTCGTCCGTCCATTCTGCATCATCTTGTGCATCATCTTGTGCATCATCTTTTGCATCATCTTTTTCAGATTTGGATTCATCAGGTTCATCTCTTTCTTCTTCGCCATGTATCATTACTCTCGGTTCAAAAGCTTCTTCGTGGAAAGATACATTTCTTGCCTCAACCACTTGTCCGGACTCAGGGTCGTAAAGACGATATTTCTTGCTCTCTGATGCGTACCCACACAGGATAAGTCGCTCTCCCTTTGCTCCCCAGACCGTCCTTTTCTGGGCTGGTATATGTGCAAATGCTACGCTACCAAAGACTCTCAAATGACGGAGTGAAGGTTTCTTGCCAAATATTGCTTCAAATGCGGTTATATTTGGACTTTGCTTGTCCAGTATTCGGTTGTGGACGTAGACGGTGGTGGCAACGGCTTCAGCCCATAAAGATTCGGGTAATTTAGCTGCCAGCAGAATAGTTCGAGCACAGTCTTTTAAAGTTCTTATTTCACGTTCGGACCTCCCATTCATTTCTGGATTGTAGCTGACGGTTGTTTCATGAATTATTCCCCGGTCTCTGAAGTATGATGCCAAAGTAGAATTACAGAATTCTCCACCATTGTCTGAACGGCATATCTTGACCTTTCTTCCTGTTTGATTTTCCATAAATTCAATGTAGCATTTGATACGATCCTTGGCTTCGTCTTTGCTCTTGAGAAAATATACAGTGCGGAAGCCAGTAGCATCGTCTTTCAAGAGTAAGAAATATTGAGCTCCTCCCAGGGATGCAACAGGCATTTTTCCGGCTAAGTCCATATGGACCATTTCTCCTGGTTTTATCGTTGCATTTCTTGTTGCGGCTGGAAATGGCTTTCGAGATTGCTTCCCAATCTCACAGTCTTCACACATAATTTTATGTGACACGGCCTCCAGGTCAATTCCACGAACTGCGGCTTTCTTGATGGAGTCCACCACATAGTTCATATTAATGTGTGTCAAGCGTTGATGCCATAGTTTAGCATTAGTCACGGGATGCATGTATGCAGCAATAATTTGTGAAGTGGGACGAAACTTCATGACATACATATCATTCTTGAACTCGGCAATTGGCCCCTTAAACCGTCCATCCTGATAAAATGTTGCTCCATTCTTGTCACGGACGATGGAGTACCCTTTCTTAGCCATTGATCCCTCAGAAAAAAGGTTGACAGCCCCTTGTATGTACAACACGTTATCTATGGTACATTCCTCCCATATGCCGTTGATGTAAGCGTCAAGTGTCACTGTCCCTTTTCCTAGTGCTTGTGTAGCCCTTTTGTCCGTTAGGAAGACTGACTTGGGAGTGTCAAACTCTTCATATCTTGTAAACCATGCCTTATCTCCACAGACATGCTGGTTAGCTCCAGAATCGCTTAGCCACACTTGTTCAGTCACGGGTGCTTGCATGGGGGTTTGTATTGCATTTAGCATGAACGCTTTCCCAGGGCTTCTATTGGCTTGTGCGGGATTATCTGAAGGTTTATTGCTCTGATTTTGTGGATTACTCCTGCATTCCCTTTTCCAGTGGCCCTTTTTCCCACACCCATGGCAGGTCGTTGCCTTTTTCAACTCTTCAATGCTCTGTTTCTTCTTGCCTTTCATGGTCATGGGTCAAGAATGCCTTTGCTGCATCTTGATTGGTTGCTGCTGGTTTGGATTCCTTCCTCTCCAACTCCTTCTTCAGACGGGCAAGTAGCATTATCATGCTCTGGTCCTTATCCGGAACGCTGTCCCATGCCTTTTTGAAGGCATTATACTCCTCGTCCGGGAGACTTGAGACAATCTTTGTGACAATGGATGCTTCAGGCATGACGACTCCCATTTCATTTAGTCTTCTGCCCAGCTCTTCCACCTCTGCAAATGCTTCAATCAATGACTGACTCTTGCCAATTTTGTAATTGAAGAATCTAGCCATGGTATGTTGCTTGTTAAGCGAGCTTGAATCTGAATTGATGCTTTTCAGCTTGTCAAACATTGCTTTTGATGTAGCGCAGTCATAAATATGATTTGTTTGAGTGGCACTGAGAGTGGGGACAATGATGGATTGTGCTTGTATATCCTTCTTATCCCATGCTGGCTGTTGTGCTTCATCTGCAGGTCGTTGGGTAGTGCCGTTGACCACTTCCCACAGGTCATGTGACTTGAGAAGTAAAGTTATCTGAAGTCTCCACCTCGCGTAATTGGTGTCGTCTAGCTTGACAATGTGCGTAACATCTATTCTTTTGATTGTTGATGTCATCTTGTCGTTGTGGAGTAGGGAATGCAGAAGCGAAAAACAGAAATAGACTTGTTACCTTCTCTTTGCCTAATAAAGAGCAGTAGAATCGAAAAAGGTCGAGATTTGGTAGACGGGAACTCAGGATTTGGGTAGAGTGGTCGTCCTCAATAAAACTCGTCCTCGGGCGGAAGGTTCAGCTTCGGGTAGAGTCAAAGGGTTGATGTCTCTTGTCCAAACAATGGTCCAATTCACGGCACACTTTTACAGGCTTACTCCGTCCAGACTGGCACTGGGCAGTGGAGACTTACTGCTATTATTAACTGATGAATTGACCTTTTCACTTCACAACAATAACACTGATCTACTTCAGTTTATCAAGTGTTGAACAGGAAACAGTTCTTCTCGTTGTGAGACTTTAACAGACTCTGAGACTGGGGCACTTTTGAGACACTCACTGAGGCAGGTTGAGACCAACAATATGAATCATACAAACTAACGGCTTTGCTACCATGAAAGTAAAAATGATCTCGCTGGAAGATATTTTTAGACTGATGGTGATTTTTATTAAACAACTTGGTTTTAAGGTTTTGACAGTACATAGGAGACATTCATACATATGTAATAATATGTGGTCAGAAGTGACCATACAAACTACGCAGAGTTATGCTCAAACGAAGTGTCCCTTCTAATGAGGCATAAAAACAAAAGGACCCTTTTAATCCCTTGTCCTGGGAAAAAGGTTGGAAAATGCTCAGCCCTCATAAAAGTCAACAAACTTAAAAATTGATAAATATGGAAAACTTTGTTAACATGCATATTTTAACACCACCGACCTAACCGATCATGCCCATGTTCGAACTCATCCTTACTTTTGACCCGAAGATGAACTTTGCAAAATTTCAGGTCGCTAGTTTGTGTTTAAAGAGAGTTATCGTGTGCACCTTGACAAATCTATAAGCCCATCCGAAAAGACCTAAAAATTAGGTTTCCCATTGTATATAATCCATGACATATTATTAACAGCTTTTATTTTTTGAAATCTACAGTGCAGTCCATTTAGCCCTGGTTGATTGATTCTGCCCTGACTCGGTGAGTCCGAGCTCACTTCTTTTTTTTCGAATTTACCGACATGATAATATTACCAACCTCCGTGGTGTGGATGGCCAAATGTTTGTTAGGTATTTTCTACTATTTGGCATTTTAACTTCATATTCTTTAATGAGAAGTCATTAAGTATTACCTTGCCGGATTTAATGTTTTTCAGGTAATTTCTAATCGGTATGGGTCACCCCATATGGTCCCTCAAAATAAAATTCTACCAATGTCATTTCATATTCTTCCATTATGCCCCATAAGCAACCTCTCTACCAAATTCCAGCTCGATATGACCATTTTGAAAAACCAGTATGGGTCACCCCATAGCGTCCCTCAAGATGAAAAAATTTCCAACTTAAATTCATTTTTTTCTATTAGAAGTCATTAGCTACCTCTGTACTAAATTTCAGCTTTCTACGACAATTTTGAATTTCGAAATTTTATCCCACCTACTCACATGACCCCCACCGGTCAACCACTTGACCGATTTCGCCCATCTTCGAACTCGTTTCCTAACTTGTCCAATATGTACATACATGGTAAAAATTTCAAGTCAATCGGTCAGCTCGTTAGAGAGTTATCGAAAGACAAGCGGACGGACGGACATGACGGTTCCATAAGCCCTGACTCGGGCTAATAAAAATGTAAATTTATTTTGTAACTCGGCCATTTGTCGTAACCTTATAGACTGATAAAGTGTCAAATAATCTTGGTTGTTCAGATCAAGTTAATTCACATACAAACCAGCACACTTAAGAATCATTCATCAGAAATCCTTCACAATAATAACATAATCTCACATTTCACTAGTTACTCATGAACATTAACACTGGTCCAGTAATTATTCATATTCTATTGAATGGGGGTCGATGTCAGCAGGATCCACAACTGCTGCGATGCGTTGAAACGTGTCTTCAATTTTGTCTCTGGAGATGGTCACGGTGGTGAGGTATTGGAATATTTCCTGACTAAATAAAACTCTACATTTATGGGCAAATAGTACCGATCCAAGTTTACCCAAAATTATTAACACACACGATTTCCAGCTCCATCATTTTGGTCTCAAGCGAAACGGATTACCAATCCCATAAACGTTTGCGTGAAAGTGTGTTGTTGGCGATAATAGTGACATTGTGAGGCCATGACCCTCGTCAAAGCAGAGAAGGAGCGTGACGCCACAAAAGTGACCCTTGGGTGGCTTGAAAAGCGGTACAACGACCACGCCACCGCCCCAATGACCGAGAATAAGGTAGCTTAGAGGCACAAACGGGGTCCAAAATGCGAAATTTTCTATCGCACTGCGGACATTTTAAGGAGAGACATTCCCACGCCATGCTATCACCGGAATCAATCCAGAAATTTAATATGCCTAAAAGAACTACGTAGCAATTAACACTTTTCATTTCTACATAAGCACAAAAATCGTGCACACAAAATTCATAAATCTTAAATTCAAAATCAAAACCCAAGTAGAAGAATGAAATGAAATAAGTAAATAAATGTATGTACAAGTTGATGACATTGAAACAGTCGAAGGTGAATTATTGATGGATTGATGCAAATATTTATAGCAAACGCATGACTGAATCTCATTATAAATGGAAATGTACACCGTTCCAATATTCCCGTAATAAAGTTGTAACGAAATAAATCATGCAGTATCACGAATCAATCTATAAATTACCGTGATTTTATTCATATGCTTCCTTTCTACCATAGCAAATGTTCATATTCCTATTTGTTCAACAAGTGTTTATGTATCAGATTAAAAAGACGGCACAAATTTGGAAGGCAAGATAATGAAATTTTGTACAGAACTAATTTTACTAAATATTTCCTGGAAAAGTCCCCGCCTGGATTTGCTCCTCCCACTTGGCCACCCACGCATTTGGACAGAGGGATGTGTACACCTTAAAATTAAATGTCATAAAATCATTAAAGGACTTAAATAACACGTGGCAGTATAAAATTATTACACGTCGGAAGTACTCGCAAGCAGCAAATTCCTCTCCTCTGGCTTTGACGCATCGTTTGTGGTCCAAAAAGCTCGTGTAGCAGTGCTTGGTCTGATTCTGGTTAGGAAAACGAGGGTCGAAGGGGGCTGTCTCCAATACGAACTAGAATTATATATAAAATTATTATCACAATAAGACGCAAAAATAATGGGCAGTTAGAAAATCTGGGTTTTCAAAATATCCACACCTTTCCCTATCTATCGCTTGAATGAAAAATTTTCAGAGGACGCAATTTCAAGATCGATGCCGGAAATTTTTACACAACTCAAGATGAAGGGAAAGTTACGGAAATTTTAAAACCGTCGGTTTGCTAACTAATGCATGGAATCAAGAAAAGCTTACCTCTTCAACATCTGCACCACCATCACCTGCCGCACCCCCGGCTGCTGCTCCTTCTTCACTCATGATGACGATCTTGACGACACGCACACAGATTTATTACAATGATACGGAGAAAAGGTTCTGAAATTCTTCTGGGTGATGAGACAAGCAGACGTGACAATTTGAAATTGTGATTTCATCATGCTACCTAAATTTTAGGAAAATCGGATTGAAATTTGCACGGCATGACAACGAACACAGATATTTTTACAGAAAATTCAGAGAATTCTCAGCCCGAGTCAGAGTTATTATGATCCAACTACTAAATATTCGTAATCGTCAAAAATGTTTTCATAATCTAGCATGTAAAATTTCAGGTTTTCTCGGAAAACTTCAAAAAACATAATGGTAGAATTCTTGGAAGACATGGTTGTTGATATAAAACAATTTATTGTTACGAGCTTTCGACGCTACAAAGAAACATGGGTCACTCACCCTGCTATCTCGTAATTTATTATTTCTAAATTTTACCTCATTCTTCAGTCTGTTGTGCTCTGGCATCTTGATGCCGAATTTCAGCTTTATTTTTCAATGAATTTCAGAAAGTAGTGTGGGCCATATCACAAAAAAATCATAAAATTTACTTCATGCATGTATTTGTTAATTTAATCTAACCTGACGAGGATCATATATCATACGAGCCTTACGCACAAACTAACTTGATTTCAAAGCTGCTGGAAAATCCCAGTTAATTAATTAGCATACCTACTAACAACACGTTTCATTTCATATTCACAGGTTTCAGATTCAGTTTCAAGTTCAAACTTTGAACTCAAAGATGTGCCAATAATCTAGCGATGACGCCTTTCATAATGCGAAATCAGAGAGTATCAGAGATTAAGTGGATTAAACTTTCCCGAGCTGTGATGAATTAATGATTCTACGCAGAGTAAGATTATCCCTTATCAAAAAATCACGGCAATAACTTAAATACACATATTTCACATGGACAAATATTTTAAAATTTACCAACGCATTTCATTTCACTCTCCATTTGTAGCTCTGTGCGACATGAGTATTAATCAAATTTATTTCTCAGGCCGTAATTAAGACCAAAAATGGACAGAAAGTCAGCCCCTGGACAAACTTATGGATATCGTAAGCTAAGCAATAGCAGCAGACTGTAAGAAAGTAGAAAATTATTGATTCAAAATTAAGTGGCCAGTTTAATTTAATTTGTTTAATTTGTTTAATTTAATTTAATTTGTCTATATAAATCAAACCAGAAGTTATCCACTTCCACCTTCCGCAGTTTTCCGGTGTCGTCCAACCACGCCCTGGATCATTCCCGAGGATTTTAAAGAGTTACAAATTGGATCATTTTCCCAAGAATTTCACGAAGGAGGTGCCATCCCCCCGCAACAGGCCGCAATTATTGCAAGCATAAGCAGTGGAAATAGCGGCAGCAGCAGTGACGATAATAATTCTCTTGACCTCAATGTTCTCTACATGGGAGACAACATTCCTGAAGAAGGAAATCGTGGTCAAATCGGGACAACAATTATTATTGACGACGACACAGCCAGGGAGACTTTCAAGAGTGAAAAGTCGGCAGAATATGGAAGGTTGTCCGTGAGTAAATCGGGGAGAAAAATGAGGATCTCGAAACCAAGAGTACTTCCGATGTCGGATAACTTTCTGTACTAATTAGAAAATCATGTGCAATTAATTATTAAGTCTTTTTCTTAGTGAGGCAAATACCTAACAACGAAAAAAATTTGCTAAGTATGCATTTACCCCACCCAAAAAAAGTGACATAAGTCGATTTCTCAGCCATTTCTCAACCGATTTTGATGAAATTTTGCACAGATCATTGTCAGGTAATTTAGAAAAGATGTGCTAGTCGACTTGGCGAATTTTTGATTTTTACCCAAGTTATGTGCCAAAATGTGCAAAAATTTTCCTCTGAAAACATATTTATTTTTATGACTCATAAGTGGTGTATCCCAGCATGCTCGCTTATTGAAAATATTTTAGTCAAAGTCATTCCGGACATTTTAAGCCCAAAATGACCTAAATCGGTTGAGAAATAACGGCGTTATTCAAGTTTGAAAATCAAAAATTTAATAAAAATATTCAAGGTGCCGATAATAACGGCGGTTGTGCAGTAAAAATAATGTCTTTGACAACCAAATTACAAGTTTTAAATAAACAAGGCCCCAAAAAATGGGAAATCTTAGTGAGTCAGCACAATCACAGTTAATAAATAAAATTAGATTGAATAACTTTTGCATCACCGCTCTCGGGATAATTTTTACTGGGTCCACTGTAAATTTAGTTTTGCATACGCATGAACTCTTGCATTCATTAAATTAATTGAGATTACAAGATGACGTTTTTACTATTGAACGAGAAGTTGAATAAATTAATCGATATGAAATATAATTGTGAACTGCGAATTTTAAATTTAGAAAGAGTTGAAAATCTACAATTTCGATATATAAATTTAGATATCCTATTAATTCCTATTCAGATGAAATCTCCAGACCCTTTGAGGGGGGGGCAATTATTCTAAATGATTAATTAATGCTTCCAGGAAAAATTATACCGAGAGCGGTGATGAAAAAATTATTCAATCTAATTTTATTTATTAACTGTGATTGTGCTGACTCACTAAGATTTCCCATTTTTTGGGGCCTTGTTTATATATTTTACTTTTAAATATATATGTAGAAATATAGTAAATAAATAAACTTTGCAATATTCTCTCTTGAAATGATCAATAAATTATAATTTTTCTCAATTTTTTCGTCCTTTTCTACGCATTGAATCGTAGATAGCAATCTAAATAATTGACAAATAAAGTAAACTTATTTCCTCTTTATTCACTAAAACTTCCGTGTAATCTAATTGATAAATAAATTATTTGATGTACCGACGTACACATGTACTTATTTATTAGCATGAACAAATTTCCTTATTTTAAATGAAAAATAATGCAATCATACACATCGCAGTAAATACATGTGCATTATGTAAATTAAAAAAAATACATCTGACCATGCAAACATAAAATATGCAAGAACTATTTAAGTCTCCATTTTTATCCGATAATGTCCGCCTTCTGAGCCCCAGAACTTGTGCTGACCCTTGTTCGACACCTTTACCGTATTTAATAAAAAATGAATCAGTCAATAATAAAGTAAAACTAACTTTTCATAACTTAATTTTCGGCTTTTAGTATCATGAAAGAAAATGCATATTACTTAACCTGATGATTCTGTCATTCTCGAAATTACGTAAGTTTTTTTAATAAACCCCTAATCTTCATGCAATTTACCAACAATTTTTCATGCTAAACACAACTTTTCTCAGAAAATGTATTGTACATAAGTATTTATATGCATGAAAATTGTGAAAGCGAAACATAACGAATATCTGTCTTGCCACTAATTTTGCAAAGTGCTTTTATTTAACACGGCATTTATTGTTTCATCCCACATATTATCGATCCAATACCCATCAATATTACATTAATTATTCAGTCCTTCAGCACTTTCGCGTGTCCATCCTCATTGTCCTTATCAATATTAATTAACCTGTGAATAACAAGCTTATCTAGCTAGTTCGAAACACAATAAAGTTTATGCTTATCTGAAAAAAAGTTGCACAAGTTGGCCAGGTGAGAGGATTACGTATCTTTCCACTACATACAAACACACAATTGTTCTGACTAAATAACTAAATAATACCTTAACCTTAACATCCACCAGATCATATGCTGCATGCATATTCATACACCCTTGATACTACTCAGACAGTTCAAGAGTCAGGTTCAAATGTTATCTTTTTTGTCAGAACTCTTAATACGAATGTAATAAGTATTTATCTTTGAGGATCTCTTGCAGTTTTTGAACAGTTGTCTCGTTTCCCAAAGTCGGGGTGGGGTCATAATTCGCGAACAACGGGACACAGTCTCAAATCTATTTGGTCTCTAAAATGGCACAATCCGCCATTTTGAATCTACTCCTTTTTAGCTTTATGTTATTTGGCGAGTCGATTCTTGCCGCAAAAATTGAGATTCATCACTTCAACGACATCAATAGCCAACTTCAGTCAATTAAAAGGGTAAGACTGCAAAATCAACGTAGGACTTGATGACTCATTACCAGGATCGTCAACATTTTAAATTATTTCTCGGCTCTTGGAATTTATTTTAAAATTCTGGACGACAAATTTGTAGTCGTGTGTTAATAGAATGACCATGAGTTTTTGAGCCAGTTTCGATGAGTTCCAATTTTCTGAAGGCTTCTTAAACTTGAGATCTCGTCCTTCAAAATCTGCCAAAATCTGGAGTGTATGTATATTTTTTAAAACTTGGCAACGACTACTTTCTCTACAAATTTGTCGTCCAGAATTTTATAATATAGTCCCAGAACCTAGCAGTGATTAGAAATATGCCGATTTTGGCGTCCCCATGAATCATACGTTAAATACATAAGAAATGCTTTAAATTGTATTTAATGTGTGATGTGTACGACTCACTTGCAGGGATTCGACCCAGATTACGAAACCATTCCCACGCCATGCGGTAACAGCTCAACCCCCGCCGAGTGTGAGGGTGGCATTGCAAATCTCATCTATCACATGAACAACACTTCCCCAGAACCTGGCGCTACTAAAAAGGTGCGAATATCCACCGGAAACTTGGTCGGAGGAGAGAATGGGTGGTTGTCCGTAAATCGATGGGATGCATTTGGAAAACTTCTGGGAAGATATTACTCGAACAACGGGGTGAGAAATTTTGGCTATACTGAAAGACGAAATCTAGAATGATGCAGAATGTTTTTGCAGACTGTCGATTTTATCCAAACGTTTGGCTACAAGGAGTTTGAGGCTGGTTTGGCTCGGACTCTGGAATACTTTCATATAAATACTACGAAAAAGATCGTACTGGCCAATGTGAATTGCAATGATTCCGGAGATTATGGAGATGACGAGCGAGACTTTTGCAAGATTAGGGAAGACGCGGCAGATTTTGCGGGGATCGGGACAGTGGGCGTGATTGGATTCATTAATCCATACGTGGAGGTAATATGATTTGAAATCAATTATGTATGTGCAGAGGGCGGACATGTATTTATTTTCAACTTTCCCATTTTATGAAAATTAACGGTCAAACGTTGTGGACGCGTTCCCAAACTCGCAAAAAAAGATCTAAAAAGTTTCAAAATATCTTAAATATAAATATTCAGATATATTTCTGTCATTGTTTGAAAAATACGTAAATATTTCGGGATTTTTCAAAAATATAATATAAGTTTTGTAAATACATACGTATCTATTTCAACAGTTTGAGGCAAATTACATTGATCAAAGAAATTTGACCTGGAAAAATCCAGAGCATCAATTTCAGGAATACAAATTTTCTGAAAATAATATCTTTACGATTTTTGGTCCATTTGGTACATTTTTGGTATATATTTCGTAAATATTTTGGCGTTCTTTCATAAATATTAAATATATATTTCAATGATTTTTCGTGAATACATAGCCGCCTTCTGATTATGTGATATAGCAAATAAGGTGACTGTGACTGGTTTTTCGTCATTAACAGGCCCTCAGTTCCCCCGGACGTTTAAAATTCGACCCAATCGTCCCCGCCTTAAAACGCGTCGCTGACAATTCCAAGTACAAAAGCCTCATCGCCATCGGAGACGGGAGCTTGGACATAGCAAAACAGATTCTGGAAAATGTTCCAAAAGTTAAGCTGGTCCTTTACGGGAGAGGATTTGGTGCGACGAGGAACATGAGTGGGGAGGCATTTCCCATGCCGTACAGAAACGGCTGGATCGCCACTGCTGGACGGTACGGAACCAGTTTCGGGAAACTCGTCGTTGACATCGATGATATCAGTGGGGAGATCAAACAAGTGACGGGAAAACTTGTCCATTCAGATCATGTCGATGGTACGAATAAGTAAATAAATTTGTTTCAGTGGCCGTGGAAGCCGTGGGGACATTACATTGTAGAATAGGGGTTTGTATAACAAGGCCAGATGTTGGGGACATCGAATAACCGTGGGGACATTGTCCCTCTGCCCACACACTTCCGCGGCCATTTATTATTATTACTTTCCAACATTTAAATAGAATATATTATAATTCAAATAGTTGCTCAAGACAAAATTCTGGAAGTTCAAAACTTTCTCATCAAAGTACAAGCTCTCGAAGATACCAAATTGGGCAAGTCGGTCTTCAAGTTAGAGGGGGGAACGCGATGCTGGAGGGATGAGTGCAACTTGGGAAATCTTGTGGCCGACGCCATGGTCCACTGCGCTTACAATGCAGTCGAGAATACGCCGGTGGATAAGCCCATAGTGGCGATTTGGCATGGAGGAGCCCTCTTTAAAGATTCCGTGATGGGAGGAAGTAAATAACTACCATTTTCGCGTGTTTTACTATATTTTAATATTTTAATTGACTATATTTTAAAGAGAACATCAGCGGTATGGATGTTCACCGATGGCTTCCCTACCACAATAGGGCGCATTTGGTTCGTGTGACGGGAGAAGTATTGTGGAGAGTTTTTGACTTGAGTGGATCTGGTATTACGGCCAGTCAAAATTCAGCAGTGAAGGATTGGGGACAATTTCTTCAAGTTTCGAGTAAATCTGAATTTTGTGAATTTTTTTTACATTTGAAGCTAGTGATTCCAAAATAGCCGTTCAAAACAGGTTTGGAAGACCAAAGTGTCCAAAGTAGAAAATGGGGAAAATGATACATACAAATTTTTCCATACAAATTTTTCCATACAAATTTTTCAGTTCTGATCGTTCCTCTGTTGACGTATAATATGTGCAATCTTGCATTAATTTTGAGCATTTTGGTGTATGTATGGTTTAGAAAATTTCTTAATTTCTCATAACAAAACATGTGAAAACAACTTTTTTCTTCAAATTTCTTGGAATATTAATTACACACCAACCAAAATGCTCAAAATTAATGGGAGACTACACATCTGTGCATAGATTTACAAAAAGTCGTTAATAAAGACTATTTGCCCCATTTTCTAATGTTGGACGCTCTTGGACACTTTTAAACTGGACAGTGTCCAAAAAGGTTCTTAGACGTTCAAAACAAAACTAAATTAAAATAAAGTTCTTTAATTTATGGATATGTAGACGGTCTGGAAGTGTGGTACAAGCAGGATGGCGTTGACGTGAAGGTGGACAGAATTAGGATTCTGGACGAATCCGAGGGAAAACCTGTGATGAGGGATATTGCGATGAATGCCGAGTACAACGTGGTCATCCCATCGTTTATCAAAGAGGGTCGCAATGTGTATGATCTTGTTAAGACTGCGTGGAAGCCGGTGAAGGATATTGGATTTGATGACGTGTGCCTTCAAAACTACATCGAGGCTTTGAAAATGGTCACGGTTGGATTTGAGGAAAGAATTTATATCAATGACCCTGTCAGCCCTAGCTGTGACCATCCTAAAAAGGGAGGAAACACGGCGCTCACGGTGTTCCGTAAGGATTTAATTATATCATAAATAATTAATTATATAAGAGTTAATTAATTAATCAATTCCTTAATCCTGTCCCTAGTGACCATCCTGTTCATGTGTGTCATCGTGGGAATAGCATATGTTGGATATCGCTACGTGTGGCCCAAACTAACCGGAAGGGCCCCGGGGGAAGCTCAGAATTTTAGAAATTTTTAATTACAAAAATAATTATGATAAATACAACGCACGAATGTATGTACATGTATATTGATTATTTAGCTATATTCGGCTGTATTATTATTACTAACTGACAATAAAATATTCAGAAACAGATAATCACTTTTGTCAAATTAGTTAATGTATGGAAATATTTATGCATCTGGCAAGCAAATCAGTTACTTTTGAACACATAATCAGTCGTCAATATTTTAAGACTTCTCATTCTAAAATTAACAATAATGCTCACTAATATATAATCATCAAATTCTATAGCACAATTGGCCACTATTGGAAGCTTTCGATACAATCCACTCTATACGTATGTATTAATAGCACACCATTATTGTCCACTATAATTTCCTCACTATGTACAATCACTAGCAAACTTTAACACCATCCAGATTATTGACAATTTTTGCGAGTTATAAGGCAACTATAATAGCCTACATTAGATATCAGCTAGGCTAATCATTATCATGACGTAATTTTTTTCCCTGCTAGATCAATTGAAGATCACTAAACAATCAAGTTGGTGTAATATAGAAGCGTCTAATTAAACCAAGAACGGTATTCGTGTGGCAGAGCCCCCCTCCGCGGGTAGAAGGTGTGTCGCTGGGAATATTTCATGAGATTGGTGACTGATGAGGTATAAATGTCGGCAAATCTGAAAAGTCGCTTTGAGAAGAAGGTAGGATTTAAATGGGTTCGGAATAAGCTGCCAAATTGTTGATTGAAGATGTGTTTGGTCTTTTTTCTGTGCGGATAAAAAAAATGTGAAATCGTTATTATGTAATATTTTTCATGACGAAATACAATTAATTTATGTCTTTTTTACCGAATAATGTGACGCTCTGACTGCCACTCTTTGATAATGTCTTGGACTTCAGGATTGTCGAGGTCTTGATACGTCTCCAGCAAGGATGTCAGAAATTGCAACCAGTTCATTGCATACTTGAAATCTGGTGAATTCAAAGTCTCGATTTCGTACTCTAGTTCTTTAATTATGGCCCCCGTTCGCCAGCCGTGATGCAACGTCACGTCGGCGAGATCAGTGTAGGCGTGGTCGCCAAAGTATACTACATTGTCTCCTTTCCACCCTGTGAGTTGTTGGAACTGCTTGAGAGTTCCTCCGTAATAGATGTGCCCTGGTTCAAATGAGTTGACCCTGTCCCACAATCGCCCCATGTCCGGGTCGTAACGACGAAACGGAATGTTATCGTTTGAGAAAAAGTGAGGCTTGCGAGCACTCACAACCGTGACGTCAAAAAGTTGCTGCCAATCTTCCCCAACTATGAAACGCAAGCCTTTGTCTCTGTTAATGTTAAAGGGGTGTCAATACATATGGATAAAATATGCAATTAGCCTGTGTATATTAAAGAGCTTACACAAATTGATAAGGGCTGTTTGTTATCAAAAATACTTTTTTCCCGCTATCCTTGAGAGTAACCAAGTATTCGCGGAGAAGGGGATGATACTCTAAATATTTTTTTGGGTCCTTCTCAACGACTTGGTGCATCAGGGGATGGATACTTTGTACAGACTCCTAAATAGGTCCAGACAAGGTACAGGTCATACATAATAAGGAAAATTAAGCCATTGAGTTCGCATTTTACTTACTTTGACATCCCAAAACAAACTTTGTGGATGGTAATCAATATTATTTCGATACAAGTATTCAACAACGTTGCAAAGTAGATTCATTTCCGGTACGGAGAAGAGATCTGCGAGCTGAATCATTTTCATAGCCCTGCAAAAACCATGGCGTGTGACAAGAGAGTTAAGGATTTAAAGGTAACAAGCATGCACCTACTTTGGGTCATGATACTGATTGGGGACCTCGACATACGTGGCAGGTAACCTTCTTCCCTGATAAATTTCCAAAACTTCGTCGTCCGAAACTGGCGTGAGACCTAGAAATGAAATAGGTACATACATTGCTCTAATTCATTAAAATATTATACTTGCAATAAAAAATTAATACAGACCTCTATAAACACAACCGAGCTGAACTTGAGTAAAACTATCGACCTAAAAAATATAAGATAGGTGTAATCTAAATAAATTCTAAAGGATATGTAATCAGTGTTAAGTGCGTTATTTACTTTAAGAAGTAGGCCGTGTTGAATATCGTAGTGTAATCCTCTAACAGCAAAATTAGGATTGTACTGGAGATCCTTTATTGCCTCGGGGTACTGTCCATGACATAAAAACAATTCAGTATATTTTACACGCACGTTTATTTTGTAAAATTCTACCTTAAAATTTTTTAGCAGCGCTTCCTTCCCCAGGTCATAAATTAGTTGTTCCAACTCTGGCGTGTACGAGGCCAACGTGTAATCATAGTCGAATCCGTATACGTCAATATTCCTAAGGTCCAGTCTGTTACATGAAAATACGGCGGTAGGATCCACGTCGTCAGGAAGTTTCTTGGCTATAAAATAAAATCACAACTTTACCATGTCCTTCAATTTCATTAAATTATTCATATCTAATTAGTTTCACCCACATTTGCAATAGTGCAGAGCATCGTCATACGCCTTTTTAAGGTAGGACCTTAGATCCGCAGCAGGGAGAGATTCAAGTCCATGCGATTTGTGGAAACTTGGCTGCGATATTTCCCCTGCGGATGTCGATGGCGCCTTATCAGAAACTTGGTGAAGCGCTTGGCTCGTGGGAAGATTGTTCACAATATATGGAACAAGTCTCGCCGTAGGGACTGGCCTTTTATTTCCAGGATCACTTCCACCCCCAGCGCTGCAGCAAGGTGCAGACAATCCCTTGTTCTTCGCCTGAGTATGAGACGAGGTCCATTTCTGCCCCTGCAAGTCCCATTTCTTCTGGACACTTGTGGTTACCATTGGCTCAAAAAGCAAGCGAGTACTGCGAAGGTTCCCTGAAACCAGGGTAGTCCAACTACTCCACGGATGGCGTAAACTTTTCATCAAGACGTCGGTAGGTTGCAAAAAAGGTAAAATTTTCCAATTCTAGGGGAGAGAATAGAAAATTGTAGTAACCAGCAAAGCAACCCAATTAACACTAAATCCTCAAACTCTGTAGTGTATGTTCTAGATGACAAATAAATGTCATACTTTCCCAATTTACCATTGTTTACACAATTAATTGATATTGTTTTTTGTTCTCGTACTAATCAAATCAAATATTTACTCCACTCCACTCTCACAGGAATAATATGATTACTTAATTTATTACCCAATTGTTTTATTTGGTGATGGATGACGTGCAGGGGAGAGACATGTGGTGAGTAAGCACTTATCCTTCCGCCAGATAAGTGCATCTGGACGACGAAAAACCAGTTTTTAAAGAAAGTTGCAATTATTGAATTTTACAAAAGATTGAAGTTCAAGGCTCTACGCATCTCTGTTTTTCGTGTGTTGATTGAGGTCTCGTGTGGCAATTTGCCGCTGCAAGGCAAGGCATGAGATTTTACAAAGTTGAGAATTTTACATGCAAATTTGTATGGTATTTCATCATTTTAAATTAATAAATTCATGGCATTACTGTAATTGATTTAGTGTCTATATTTATTTATACCCCTTGTGCCAGGCTGCATATGAACAATTCAAAAATGAAACGTATTGAAATTCACTTATAATTTAATTCTAGAAGACAGAATTTAAAACGTTTAAAATTGGAATTGATCTATATATATGCATTCTTCGCATGCATTCTTCGCATCACGCCGTATGATCACGCAACAGTGGGGATGATAAGTAATTTGCCACTAATTTCGCAAACGTATGATTTCAATTATCAAATTCAGCTCAAATCATAAACTTGGAACATGATTTTTGCAAGTTTATAACACCACTGCACTTTCACAGAGATATTGTGGTTTGGTTTTGTACCCTGGAGAAAGTTGAATTTGTCACAAATTGTATTTGTATGATTTTCCGACCCCGACGACATGCTAACTGGTCGTTCAGTACTGAAAGTGAAAAGGCAAACAAAGAAAGCATATAAAGCCAATTTGTCAATGCCCTCCTGCATGCATCTCAACTTGTGTAGTTTTCAAAGATCTGAGAAGTTAGATGCAGGTCATGTCGCAGAGATCATTAAATTATAATTCTTAAAGCTTATAGGATTAGTATTCTATCAAACGGCAAATAGCCACTTATTCGATTGACGATAATAAATAATAACACCGGAATGGAATCAAAGAACATTGATCTCTTTTGATTAGAAATATTGCGATTAGGGTTGGTCCCATCCGATCCGATAATATCCGATCCGTCGGATCGGATCGGATATTTTTATCCGACCATTTGCTACAACATGGTCGGATAGTATCCGATCCGATCCGATCCGATCCGATCCGATCCGATCCGATCCGACGGATCGGATTGGGTGGGATCGGATACATGTTATAGTAAGTGGTCGGATAATCTCGGATAATCCGATCGGATCGGATCGGATCGGATGACCAACCCTAATTGCGTTTTATGCAAATGACGATGCATACTTATATACAGATCTGTTTCTAAACCTTGCAAAACACAATAAGATTATTTTCATGTATTTAACAGAGCAGATTAATAACTCAATCAAGTAGCTCAACTTATCTTCACATCTCATATGTATCACTTCCTGATAACGTAAACCCGATAAGCATAATAATTTCACAGTTATCTAACTTTCACCAATTAACTAGCTATGCATTTGATAAAATCTTTAGATCAAATGTAAATTTTCATGGTGAATGCTCCGTATGCTTCATTCGTTCATTTCCGTTTTACGCGTGCGCCGGGTCAGACAGAGCAGCAGCAGAAATCAGTAGAGCTTTCATCCAGCAACAACATAGAATTCCATTGAAACGAAGGGCGAGTAAGCTGATGCGTGATCTATTGTATTGAGTGCCATTTTACCAAATCAACATTTCCACAAATATCAAAATTTCTGTAAATTCCTGAACTATGACGGTTATCACAAAACCGTTGAGTGGGGAGAAGAAGCCGGGGGATAAGGTTCCCCTTGTTCTGCCGGTTAATGCTGAGGTAGGAATAATTTAATTTTATAAAAACAAAATATTAGTGTATTGATTGATTGGTTAAGAATTTTTGAGATTCTTCATCTTTTAGTTAGCATTACTTTTAGGTTCGAGTTTTTGGAGTTTGACACTTTGTATTTCTAATTTTGTAGGGCCTGGATGCTGAAAAAGGAGGCGCTGGAGCGCAACGGTTAAATGAGCGATATCATTACATTCTTCGCAACCGAGCGGCTCGAGTGTCCTCAGCGACCATGCTTTGTCTCCTTATCATGGCCCTGTTGGTCATGACGGTTGGACTCTTTGGGGGACTGTATATCTACAAGCAAATGTCCAGGGCAAGGGTAAGTGTTTCTCTTTGTTGTGATTTATTTACTGTTCATCGTCTTCAACAGTTGATGATAGGTAGACGTTGACCTAGTTTCAGAACGATAAGCTAAATGACAGAACAGCAGCCAGTTGAGAGTAAATCTTATCAGGATGTTCTGCTGGCTTGTTGTGCATTATAAACATTTATAAATAGATAAGGTATCGGCATATGGATCATTTAACAATATAACGCTGAATTATTTATACTTTTTGTCCAGGATTCAGATTTATTAACTGATCCGTATCAAAAGTCTAACCTAATTTACCAATCTATTCAACTACCACTCAATTGTGCCATTAAGCGAACATGGAGGATTATTTTGATCCCAATTTATCACGCCCACAATTCAGAAGTAATACTATAGCGAGTTAAATTGCGGACGAAATAGTCGGCTGGATGCATGGCCTTCGTTCGTTTGCGAGTCATTAGATACAGGAATTTAATGAGTCATTTATTTTGCATTTAACTAACTGCATACTCCTAACTATTGTATAGACTCGAATATTCACCAGGCATTTTACATGACTCATTTTAGATTAATATAATCTGTGCTCAAGCATAACTGCATACACGTCTGGTTATAATCGGTATTTAATTTCTCTTTGTTATTATTATTCCAACAGCTCCAAAAATGGAGAGGATGGTGTAATGTCCCTTATCTAACGGAATCTCCATACCACAGTGGACGAATTGATCAGAACTTCAGGGACTCGGAACTGAATGATCCCCTCTTGGGCATGCAAAAATTGGAAGGAGCAAAGAAGGTGGGAATTAATCAATTTATGCGAACAAGAACGAGATCGAACGAGAGTTCGATTTATTGTAATTTAATTAGTAAATTATGTATTGTACTCAGCATACTCATTTTTGCATGTTAATTATGTCAATTCTCTTTGTATATGTTCTATTCTGTCCATTAATTAATTCCATTCCATATGTTTGCAAATACCTTACCATAAATTTTTATTTATTTTTTGTTATCTTATTATTTTGCATGTTTATTTTATGTAGATTGACAATGATGGTTTGAGTAATTGGTACGATCCTTCTGACCCCGATGCTGAATCTTACCAGGACACCAACTTTTTCCGTGAGGAGTTTGAAATCGATTTGACTGATGAAAAGTACACCAAGGTTGAAGTGCCCGATTTCAAAAATGGACGACTCGGAAGATTCATTCATGAGTTCGATTCGGTATAAGAAATATATTTTCTGCACCTCATCTGGTTAGATCGTCACAAAATTCTAATAATTTACTATATTGTACAAATTAGAACAAAACTGCTATCGTTGATCAAACTGGAAAGCGATGCTTCATTATGCCACTCGATCGAGAAAGGATTCTGCCCCCGAAATCCATGTACGATATGATTGAAAAAATGTGGAAAGGTAACAAACAATATAATATCAAATGTTGTAAAGGATAAATCGCTGAACTATGCATTTTACTCTGTTCCATGAATTATTAGGGTATTATTCCGTGAATACGCAACGTGTCCGTGAAAACATGAGGGTCGTGCTGCCTGCCGTTGATGATCTGTCCGAACTAGGAGAATACATTCAGCAAGAATGTGAAGACAAGACGACATACCGTCTGGAAAAAGCTACTGACAGAGGTATGTCATTAAACATTAAGAAATCGACAACCTCACTTCACCTTAAATATTGTTTTAAAATTACATTTCCAGTTTACAAGCGGTCAATCTCAAGTGCTCATGAGCTCCCATTCACCGAATTTGCTGGATTATACACCATCGACTACGACATTGTTAATCTGGATCAAATTGGGATTCAAGAGCATCACTAATTCAAATACGATTCTATAACACCCATCCATTTGTTTTATATCTTTATGTTCCGTGAAAGATTGGCGATTACTACGTACGTACACAATTTATTATAACCTGTTCCTATTTCAAGTATTCACTTATAGTTTATAGCTTATTAAATTCTAGTATTGTATATCTAATTCCAAGGTTTATAATATCGTTTTGCTGCAATGCAATTGCATATAATGCTTAGAATTTACCTATCGTTGATGTTTAGCGTTTATGAGTTCTCATCATCCAATCAGTAATCGTTCAATCATTTTACATTATGATACGGTAGGATAAGACACAATAATGTAAGTGAAAATAGAGTATATATATCTATATAATATTTCTTAGCGTGGAGTACCCATGTCTGTCTATTAATTTAATTTCCAAAAGTGTCCGAACGTGCGAGATATTGTAGGTCACTTCACTGATAATGCAGCGGTAAAACTCCCCATCCAATTTTTGTTTATCTCATTTGTTAACTACTATTTACATGTATGTATAGTCAGAACCATCATTGTCGTGCAACCGTGCTAACAATCATATAATTGTCTATACCAACCAAAAACTAAATTGTATTTATGTGTGCGTTAAAACTACAAGTCAGAAACACACGACAATTCGTTATCTAAAAAAAATAGGGCAAAATATTCATGTCCGCCCCCAAAAAAGGTCTCCTAAATATGCCAAAGTCTCGACCCGATGGATATAGTACGAAGTAACATTCCGCAAGATTTTCGGACTATTTGTCAATCAATTTTTTGAGGGAATTATAAATATATATAGCTCGCATAATCTATTGTTACTTAACGGTGGTGACCTGTATATTTGTGTGTTAAAAAAGTAGATCTTAGTTCAAATTTAGCATTTACATAACTTACATGACAAAAAAGTGTACCACATTTCAGAAATAATAAAAACACCACCAACCAACTCTCTTACTTAAACCCAAAAAAATATACTTACCCCGCTTAAACGCTTACTGGTTATCATTCCATATAAGTACATGTACATACATACATCATATTGATTTGATCCCCGAGATTGGGTTGGCTGGTGGTTCTCAAGGTGAAACTGTTTTCTCATCAGCTTAGTTTTGTTCCCGAAAACATTTTAGACTAATCGACCACGTCCAGGAGGAATAAATGGAAAGGTCCACTTTCCCTGATCAGATTCATCCCAACATCTCGCAACCCCCAAACCAAACTTCTTCTTTTTGCAGCAACAGCAATATCTCTCCTCGAGGAGTACCACATCACGACCACCGCCATCACGGCTTGTCTTTCTTCCCTCCCTCCTCCCTCCCCGCCTGCAGTTGACATGACATGAAAGAAAGAAGTTTGTCCAAGGCAGGTTCACATTACGGGAGAGAAAGCCAGAGAGAGAGACGAGTAGACATAAGATACTTGAATCAAGACTTGACTTTTTCATACGAGCAGAAAGACCCAACGACGACCAAGACGACTACCTTTCTCTCCATCCAATCCATGCATGCACATGTAGGACTGACTTTTGCCTAGAATCCTTGAGCTAGTCCTCCTCCTCGTCCCTATAATAAATACTTGGTAGTGGAGGTAGAACTGGGTCTTGAAGCGGATGGATGGATGGATGGATGCAGACTTGACATCCTTTTCAGGCAGAGAAAGCAACCTGAACCTGTAGGCAAGAGTTTCCCAAGAAGGAGGAAAGGAAAGGTAAGGAAAAGTGGTCGTCCTGGTCTCGTTGGAGAAGCACCCGAAGCCAAACCAAGTCCGTTATTGTTGTCGTTCCATGTCCTGTAGGGCACTTATTATTATTATTATTATGCTCTCTCTCCTCCTCACTCATGCAATATTAGAAAATTCATATTTTCTCCAAAAATCTCGACTTATTGCAGGGTGGGCCGTTAAGAAAACTTGGGGTGCAGCCAAAAAGAAGGAGAGATGTCTTCGGTGCCAATATTGTCAAGAAGAGGAGGAGGAGGAGGAGGGGAGCTAGAAATTTTGATGGTGTCCTTCCCACCACGAGCAGCAGCTCGATCCGACAAGCTATTGACACATTAAGTAAAGTGAAAGTGACCCAGAATGTCGTATAGTTTCAAGCAAGGGAGAAAGTTCATTTGATTCTCAACATCGCATTGCATCTTCTCCTTCGTATACCGATAATACGACCACCTACTACGACTATGTACATCCATCCATTGCCCACTTTCCCTGTCCGTACTGTCGTGTCCTGCTTCTTCTGGTCCGTGGCATGTACGTGTCCGCGTCCGCCCGTCCTTCTTCTTGATCCATTTCTTCAAAGGATAGGCGACGGAAGGGAGAAGGAGCACCAACCATATTATATTTTACAAAGTTTGCTTTGAGTTTCCTCTCCTCTCCTCTTCTGCTGTGTGGCATGGCTTCTGGTCGTCCTTGTCGTTGCCTCTGCCTGCCATCATCTGCACGGGTCGGTTTGGTCGGTCGGTCGGTGTGAGAGAGAGATGCGAAAGGACAAAATTGCAGTAGTGGCATTTGGAATTCATCCAATAACATCTTTCAAGATGATCCTACTTCAAGCAGAGTTACGCTGCCGAGAACGAGCCCAGAATGCGGTAGTTCTTTCTTCTTCTTCTTCTTCTCCTTGGGTGAAAGCTAAAGGGGAAAATGTATGGATGCGATGCAAGGAGTTGGTTGGTTGGTTGGTGCAGAGTAAAAAAGAAGAAGGTAAAAGTGTCTTATTCCGTATACCATTTCCTCCTCTCCTCTCTTCTACTTTCTCTTTCTCCACTGTCTTTACCACCATTAAATTGAGAGGAGTAAGTGCGATTGACTTGACTATACGATAAAATAAAGTCTTTTCCTACGTATGTACATACCCCATTCCGTTGGATTGGGTGGAGAGAGTTACTCGTCGTAGGCCAGTTCGACCAGGAAGGGTTTCCTTTTGCGAAGGGGATTTTACTACATTTCTTGCAAGGGAAAGGAGGAAATAAGAGAAATGCGAGGTGCAAGATACTGGGAGAAAGTGCGAGAAATAAAAAAAACTGTTTAAGTATGTTATGATGCTAACAAAATTTTATAATTCGTATTTTTTAAGCAGGGGGGATATTTTATATTTTCTGTGATAATTATGCTTCCAAACGGGTCTGGATGCAATTTATCTGAAAAGATTTTTACAATCAAATTCCAAACGGTTTGAGTTATTAGGACATCGAAATCACGCGTAATTGCACAAAATTACGGCATCAAGCCACGCGCCGTATGAAATATAGCGTCGGGACGTAGTTTCTTGCGCCTTACATTTCTTGCAGGTCAAAATACCCGCAAACAAAACCACTTTCTCCCCGTTATTTCTTGCACGTGGTAATTTTCACCCGAAACACTGCACCCGGTACGGGATCACTGGTACCTGCTAAGAAGGCGACTCTACTACGACGAGTTGAAACTCTAACGGATTTTCCTTTCTGATAAAAAAACGGAAAGAGAAAACTCTTGCTTGAGTTGAGAATGATCAAAAGTCGATATAGGAAAAGACGCATGAAATGGAAAACACTAATATTTTTGTAACGTTTTTTTCTACACATTTTTTTCCCACCTATCTATTTTGCATCCTCTAATTTAATGTTATGTAATGCGTACTTGAATTTGGTTTCAAAGATGCGATACCAAATTTTGTAAGTGCAAAAAGCTACTCACTCATGTCTACCACTACACATTAGCAAATAGGATTGTTTAGAATTTATGTACCAGCCTTGTTGGCTACCGTATATTTAAATATTACGCTATTATGTAATATTGTGTTACATACGAGGCACGAAATAAGATATGCAAACACTTATCTTCTTTACATAAGTGTATAGCGCAAAGTATGTATTGTGTAATGTTTCATTTTGTAAAGAGGATTGTATCACGTGGTGGGTATGGAATGGACACCAATTCGAATCTTCGCCTCTTGCATTTGACATTCTAAATTCAATTATGTCGCTAAAACCCATTTTATGTACTTAACCAGTTACATTCGTCGGATAGTGCTTTTGTCTTTGCTGTCTTTCTGGTTTTGTGAGGGATCGTATTTAATCATCCGCACTTTTCTATTTCCTGGAAGACTTCTAATGGAGGTGTCCCAGCGTAAGCTCTCCGATTTTGACCAAACTAGTGTCGATCCATGACATATTTAATGGATATGAAATTTGCAAAAGAAACCATCTCCCAATGGGCACGTTTGGCGGAGATATTTGCATCCGAAGAGGAAAAAGCGCACAGCAAAGTTGAAAAATTTTACACTTTCCAAATTTACTACGCGTTTTCTCCTCTGGTCAAAATATCTCCATTGTTATATGGAAATATACAACTGTATGTAAGTACACTGTTAGAAATCTGGTATAGTTACGAAATCCCAGGTTGTGATTTCTTGATATTAAAGTACATAAATAGCCACCGCTTGGAATTAAAATTATAGAAATTTGCTATATATACGGTAAAACTTAAATACCTAGCTATGCTATTACCACAACGTATTTCTCACTTTGGTTGAATCATATATCATGAATATTATTTTAATCCTGTATTTCTAAGAGTGCATGTACATATGTAAATACATCTGAAATAACCCATAATTTTACCTTAAACACATAAATAAATTGATATTTTAGCAAAAAAAGTATGTGTGTACGTGTCACCTTTGTAGTTTGCTGGGAGAGTCGTAATCTATTTTCTCATCTTGATCCGAGCTAGGATTGGATGGTGCAGTATTATATTTTGTGGACTCGCTTTGCCTCAGATCTCGTCTCCTATTTGGATTTGGAGTTAGCGAGGCTTGCAACCTCTGAGTCAAAGGATGGATGAATAAAGTCGAATCAAGTCGGATGTGACCTTTCGTGATTCAATTTAGAATTTGAGTAAACCTGATTGTCATTGTGATTCGTTTCTGGTTGATCGTCGCCAAAGTCAAATAGTCAATTGATCCGAATGTATGTAGGTCTTCCTCCTCCGCCTCCTCCTCCCTGTGAACCACGACTTATGCACATGTTTACATTTGCTGCTTTCTTCCTTTTAGCAAATACTGTACGTTACTTAAGCTCTCCTCGACATACATACGGAGGTAGCTTTGCTTTGTAGCAAATCAACATTTATTGACACTTTTTAACCAAAGCCGTTCATAATGTAATGCAGGTTTGGTTTTCATCTTTAGACAGATATGGTATGGTATTATATTGAGTAAGATAAAAGAAAAATGTGTGTGTGATTGTCTTGAGTTTATTAAAGTAATTGAATTTCATTAAAATATTCATGTTTCATGTTTTGTTGCTGATCTAAATTACTCGTAAAATATTAACAATCAAGAGATTTATAGGTTATTAAGTAGAGAAAGTCGCCGTTCGTGCAAAAGTTGTTGGTTGAGAAACCAATTGGACATATAAGTTTTGGATGCATTTTTGTATCAATTTGTTTTATTTTCATGTTTTTTATCCATTTTTGGGAAATATGAGACTCCATAACTAAATATGCATGACATGGTGTCACGTTTTTCTCGCATGTTTATCTGACCAACAACTTGCATATGTATATTTCCACCTGGTTTTGAAGGCGACAGCTTTTGCATGAAAAGCCACGATATGCATGTAGGTGGTCTTACTGGCCTTTTCGTACCATGAGAAATCGGGTTCAGCGAATGTTTGTATGTACAGATCAGGATTGTAGTTGGATGACCAATAAAAAGAGGTGTGTCCAAAGTATGTACCAGGTTCATTTGCGTATCTACTTTCCCCGTGGTGAAAGCAGAGTCCACCTCGTTCTGTTTCGCCCTTTGGAGAACTACAGCCCTGGAAAATATGCAGGTAGTCAAGTCAGTACATTCAAATTTTATATCATTACCTAACTACATGCAATGATTTTTTAGGAAACAGTAAATATGTATGCAACTAGAGAATACATATGTATGCAGCATATTTAAATTGCAGGAAAAAAAGATAAAGTGGCTTCGTTAAGGCGAAAAGA